TGCCAACCCAGCTGGGTCAGAAACTGCTCAGCCAAGATAGAGCAAGAGGGAAGCTGAGAGTTAGACCATTGGTAAACCCACAGCTGTCTTCCTTCTGGACTGTGGTATTTAGTAGCTAATGATTCAGAAGTCTGAAACTGGCCCCAGGAATCAGAACTCTGTGTGTGTGTGTGTGTGTGTGTGTGTGATGAGAATGCTGGGATCAAACCCAGGACCTTGCACATGTTAGAAAAGCATTGTACTACAGAACTACATCCCCAACCAGAAATACGAATTTTTAAATAAGGGCTTCTAGGTGATTCACTTCAGGTCAACCTAGAATCACATTTAATAAATTTGACCTCAGGGACTGGGAAGGTGGCTCAGTGGTAGAGCGCTTGCCTTCCATGCCTAAGGCCCTGGGTTCGATTCCCCAGCACCACATAAACAAAAAGAAAAAAGCCGGAAGTGGCGCTGTGGCTCAAGTGGTAGAGCACTAGCCTTGAGCTGAAGAGCTGAGGGACAGTGCCCAAGCCCGGAATTCAGGCCTCACGACCGGACCAAATAAATAAATAAATAAATAAATAAATTTGACCTCAGTCAAGATAATGTAGGTGTTTAAGGGTCCAAGATCTGGAGTATACTGTGCAGGTTTGAATCCTTACTCCATTCGATTTATGACCTTGGACAAATAAAATAATCTCTGTAGATTGCAATTCAAAGCCAGCCTGGGAAGCATCGCTGTGGCTTAAAGTGGTAAGGATAATTCCCAGGCCCAGAGTTCAAGCCTCATGGCCAAAAAAAGAAAGAAAAGAAAACACCAGAAAAAAAATCTCTATATCTCAGTTTATTTCTCTTTAAAACTAAGGATGCTCCCAGGTGCTGGTAGCTCACCCCTGTAATCCTAGCTACTCAGGAGACTGAGATCTGAAGATTGTAGCTGCATCTATGAGACTCTTATCTCCAATTCACATCACCAGAAAGCTAGAAGTAGATCTGTGGATCAAGTGGTAGAGTGCCAGCCTTGAACAAAAAAGCTAAGGGACAACATCCAGACCCTGAGTTCAACTCCAGTGCCAGCACACACACACACACACACACACACATACACACACACACACACACAAATTAAGGAAAAGATGAAGATGCTAATAATAGTAGCATTCTCATAATGAGGTCCAAAGATTCATCACATTCATTGCACATGTGAATTTTACAAGTATTAATTGTTATTATTTATTATAATTCCTCATTCCTAGCCCCACCCCCACTTTTACCAGAGAAAGAAAGAATGATATTGAATCAATATAGGGATTTATCAGCACAGTATTGTTTTAGGTGTGAGTAATCGTTAGAGTCTGCTTTAAAAATCCCTACTCCTCCCCTATGGCCCAGCCATACCACTCCTAGGCATCTATCCTGAACAACAGGAGCCAGGATACAAGGACACACGTACCTCCATGTTCATTACAGCACTGTTTACAATAGTCAGAATATGGAAACAACCAGATGCCTCACTACAGATGAATGGATCCAAAAATTGTGGTACCTACATACAATGGAATATTATGCAGCCATTAAAAAGGACAAAATAATGGCATTTGCAAGGAAATGGATGGAACTGAAAAAAATCATGTTGAGTGAGGTAAGCCAAAAGCAAAGAGAGAAACGGCACATGGTCTCCCTGATAAGTGGATGTTAAATCCAAAACATGAGATATGACAAAGTAGACAAGACTTGAGAAACAAAGGACCTCTACTCATCTGGTCGAATCATTACTAAATGACTCCACGCTGCTGACCACATATATGATATATATGTGCACATTGGAGGGAAACTAGGAGGAGGACACAGCAACAGTGAAATAGGAAAAACACAACAGCGAGACCCATCAGCTGCACTAGACATTGATCAAAAAGAACTAAGCAACTCAATGGCAGCAATGGGAGGGAGGGAATGAGAGGCAAAGAGGGAACAGCTGACACTAAGCAAAAGGAAAGAAATGCACATATCACCCTATATAGAAGAAATAACTGTATTGTCAAAGCTCATAGAACTCATAAACTTTATAGACCATGATAAAGACAGTTTGCCCCATGAAGGTGAGAATCTGTTTGTGACTTTAACTAAGTATCACTATCTCACAGTATTGTGATGAGAGGGGCAAACTGGGGGAAAGTGAAAGAAGGGGTGACATTGTCCAAAAGAGAAATGTATTCATTATCTGACTTATGAAATGGTAACCCCTCTGTACAACACCTTAGTAAGAACAATAAAATTATATTAAAATAAAAAATCCCTACTCCAAGAACTTCTTTTCAGTAAACTGACCTGCCCTTTCTTGGCTTTTATTTCTCCTCTTATACCTCCACCAGGGTGCATACAGTAGGCTGCCCTCAAGGCTGGCACTCTACCACTTGAGCTATACTTCACTTTTGGCTTTTTGGTGGTTAACTGGAGATAAGTTAACCATTGAGATAAGTTAATCATGGACTTCTGTACCTGGGCTAGTTTCAAATCATGATCCTTAGAGTTCAGACACTAGAGTAACTAGCATTACAAGCATGAGCCTCCAACATTCACTATGATGAATCGAAATATTGCATGGCACCCACCTGTATCAAAGAATTATTTATTATTAATGTGATAATCAAGTTGCATAGGGTGAGGTTTTCTTTGTTTTTTTATTTGCTAACTAGCAACTCTATCCTACCCTTTTTCCAAATCTTTCTCCTGGCCTACCACAGGATTTTATTTGAACCAACAGTGCTTCAATCTGTTTGGTCCTTATCTAAAAACCTTCTTTCCAGTTTACCCAGCTAGACTTGAAGCTCTCTGAGGGCACGGCCCAAATATTATTTTCTCTGAGGTGTCCACTCAGGAAGGGATGCTCCTTATAGATGTACACAGGGGCACCTGCAGAGAGAGGACGTAGATGGGCAAAGAAAGCCATTTTCAACTTGGTGCTCCCAGCAGATGCCAGGCACAAGGATGTCTGCCCCATGCAAGGGTATTGTTTTTTGTTTTGTTTTGTTTTGTTTTTCCTCATTGATCTACCCAGAGAAGTACCTGTTTCTTTTTTTTGTTGTTGTTTTGTTTTGTTTTTTGGGTCTGGTCATGGGGCCTGAACTCTGGGCCTGGGCGCTGTCCCTCAGCTCTTCAGCTCAAGGCTAGCGCTCTACCACTTGAGTCACAGCGCCACTTCCGGCTTTTTTCTTTTTTCTTATGTGGTGCTGAGGAATCGAACCCAGGGCCTCAGGCATGCAAAGCAACCACTCTACCACTGAGCCACCTTCCAAGACCCAGAAGTACCTGTTTCTAATTGATTCTTCCAGGACTGGTTGATTGGAAGGTAAAGAGAGCCTGTTTCCTATTACTGTCACCAAAGCATTTCCTGTTTCAAAGATGACTATTCAAAGAACATTTTCCAATTTCTCTACCCAGTGGGTCGTCTTCTAAATTGAACAAAATTTCTATGCACCATTGAGGCCCTAAGCCTCAGGGTCAGAACACTGTGTTACTTTTGCTTTGTACTTTATAGATTCCAGACTATTTTCATGCACACACACGCCCATCTAATAATCCCACAAGGACCTCCAGCAGTTGGCATGAGGGTTCTATTAGCACTTTACAGATGAGTGGACTAGGCTAGAAGAGAGATGGCAATGTGTGCTCAGTATAGAACTTAGACAACGTATACTTCACTTTTTCATGGCTCCAATTTAGCAAACGTTTTCACAGAAATCTTTTCATCCAGCCAGGTGCAGGTGACTTATTTCTATAATCCTAGCTACTCAGGAAGCTGAGATCTGAGGACCACAGTTCAAAGCCAGCCCCATCTGTAAGATTTTAGCTCCACTTAACCAGCAAGACACAAGAAGTGGAGGTATGGCTCAAGTGGTAAAGCCAGCTCTGAGCTAAAAAGCTAAAGGCCAGTGCCCAAGTCCTGAGTTCAAGCCCTAGCACAATAGGGGTGGGGAGAGGAAGAAGGAAGGAAGGGTGACAGAAAAAAAGAAAGAGGGAAAGAGAAAGGAAGGAAGGAAGGAAGGAAGGAAGGAAGGAAGGAAGGAAGGAAGGAAGGAAAAAAGAAAAACCTTTTCATCTCCTCCCTATATGGAATAAATAGGGCACTTTATGCTCATTTTCTCTTTTCATCTTCATGAAACTCTGGGAAATGTCGTGTGCTCTCACTTTATTTACAAGGGAACTGATGTGTGGAGAGGCTAAATCGTTTGCTAAAGGTCGCACCGCTGCAGCTTACTATATTCATACTGTGTGCATGCTCCCAGGTACTACGCCCATTTATTTCCAGGCAATCACATGAGCTATATATCTTATTATCACCATTTCCTGATGAGAAAAGCAGACTTGGAGAGAGTGAGTGACTGGCCCAAGACCATTCTGTCCCAGCAGGTGTCTGGGACCAGGATTCACGAGGGTACCAAAGAAACTGATCTCCCACTCCTGACCGAATTCATCCACACCTTTTCTGGCATACCGGGACCCCTCTTCCTCGAAGTCTTTGGCAGCACCCACTATCCAGAGACCTTTATTTCCCGGCCCTCCCAGGTGAGATTCACGAACCACTGGAGAGAGCCGGGTTGGGGGGGGGGGGGGGACGGACGGGAGACCAGGGTGGCGGGGCAGTGGCCAGCGCGGGGCGAGGCGGCCCCGCGCGGTGGCGGAAGAGGCTGAGGACCGCCGTGGTGTTGTTCCAGCGGCGGAGCGGGGTGGGTGGGGCTGGGGCTTGGCACTCCCGCCCCTCTCCCCTCCCTTCCTCCCTCGGTCCTCGGGCCCGCAGACACTGCGGTGACTGGACGGCCTCGGGCAGGCGCAGCGCAGCGCGGCATCGACCTAGTGCGTGGAACCCAGGCTCGGGTTGATCCCTCCGCCCCTCCCCACCCCGGGCCTTCTGCGTCCTCAGAGGGGTGGTACAGAGCCGGTGCATGGTGCCCCCCACCCCCCCGATCGCGGGCAACCGCTGAGCGCCCGCGGATCCCCGCAGCTGGAGCGGCCGCGCCATGGTGGCGCACGGCGGCTTCCTGCTGCGCGCCCTGGCGCTGCTGCTGTGGGGCGCTTGGGACGCCGCCGAGCCCGCGGAGCGCGGAGACCCGGAGCTGCGCCAGGAGGCGGAGGTACGGGGTGTGTGCCTGGCGGAGGGAGGGCTCGGTGGAACTCGCCTGAACTTGGCAGGGGGCGGGGGCCACCTGGCCGTCCCATCCGAAACCACAAACTGCGTTCCTTTCTCTCTGTCCTCTTCACACTTGAATACACAAAGAGTTCCTGGGCCAGGGCTGGGACCACACAGGCTGGCCGGATCCGCAGAGATTGATGGGGGCGGGACTGACAAGATGAACTGGCCCCCCGCTCATCCGCATCGCCTAGGCTGGGGAGACCCGGACGCTCCTCCATCCGAAGCCCCCTGCGCCATGAGGGGAGACCCAGCTGAGTGAGATGGACCAGCCTGGATTGAGGCGACCTCAGTCCTGGCTTCCTGGCCTGAGCTGTCCTCGGCAGGAGCAAGCTGTTCAGACTGTTCACCTGGATAAAGTAGGGGGAGAATAGGAAGAGTCTGTAGAGGTGCTTATTGGGAGCTTACAACAGTGCCTCGAAACTGAACTTGAGATGAGGGATGGACAGGGAGGCGAGCTGAAGCTCAAATTATTTCCCTGACATTCCTACCCCTGGACTGGGTAAGTTGGTGTGAGGTTAGGATTTGAGGCATCTGTTTTCTAGGTAAAGGTCGTCGTCAATAACACAGCAGGATCTCTTCTTTCCCAAAGCAGCATTTCTGGGTTCCTGTCTTAAGAATAGATCAAGAGTCTGTCTCCATATCTTCCCTAGTCCCCCCTTTCCTTGAGGGAGTCAAGGTGAATTGGGGAACCCTGTAGAATGAAGAGGGCTCTCTTTGGATAGCACTTCCTTCCATCTCCCGGCCTCCACCGCTGCTATGGAATATTCGGAAATGACTTTGCTTTAACAAGGGATCTTTCTCCAACTCCTTCAACCTCTCCCCTTCTAAGTGGCAGCCCAGCCCCCCCCCCCCTCCACTCTTTGCTCTGTGCTCTCCCTGTTTGCATATTCAAGAGTTCACTTTGTCTTTCTGAATTTAAACTCTTACAACATCAAGTGCAGAGTCCCAAGATCCCAGGAGAAGATTCCATCTACCAAGCCAAGTCTTGTTAAGAGTCCCACTCCCATCTCCCCTAGTGTGGTCCCAGGCAATCCTTGGCAAGGGAACAGAGACAGTTATCACTGCTGCCTGTGGCTGTGGTGGCCCCAGATGGAGAGAATTTCATCCTGGGATGTATTTAGAAACTTAATATCTAGCAGACTGAGTTCCTTTCAGTCTATTTAACAACACCCTAAAATAAAATAAAACGAGGGGAAGGGGATTTTTAGCTCTGAGCATGAGAAACATTTTAAAAGTACAAACACTGTGGAAATGTGTAACGGGCATATAAGCATCTCTGCATGCCAGTTCATGTGTGCGTGTATCCGTGTTTCTGTATATGGCTAATTGCATGGACTTCCTGACCTGCCTGGAACCAGAGTAAGTCATTTAACCAGTGGAGGTTAGTCATGCCTACTTCCCAACACTGTTGTTTGCTTCTGTGGAGTTAGTGTGTGTAAAATATGCTCAGTATAGTACTGAGTACATAGAAAGCAGTCTCTAGAAGAAATCTGCTCTCAATATTGTTGGTGCTCTTATAATTATCCTTATCATTATTTGAGAGAATAGCACCTCAGGTGAAAGCCATGGTTTGGTGATGATTACTCCTACAATGATTACTCCTACAACAGTAACACAGAACAGAATATATAAGGCAACTCTTGTCAGCAATGGACAACAAACAGCAATTGCCTACCACTCCTAGGGATGGTGTTATGGTTATTGGAGCTACATTATGAATTACTTCCAGGTGCTGATGGTTCATGCCAGTAATCCTAGCTTCTCAAGAGGCTGAGATCTGAGAATCACTGTCCAAAGCCAGCCTGGCTGAGACTTATCTCCAATTAAAAACTGAAGAGCCAGGGGGCTGGGAAGGTGGCTCAGTGGTAGAGCGCTTGCCTTGCATGCATGAGGCCCTGGGTTCGATTCCCCAGCACCACATAAGCAAAAACAAAAAAAACAAAAAAACTGAAGAGCCAGAAGTGGAGCCGTAGCTTAAGTGGTAGAGCTGTAGCTTAAGAGGTAGAGCATCAGCCTTGAGTGAAAAAGCTAATGGCCAGCGCCCAGGCTCCAAGTTCAAGCCCCAGTACCTGTTTAAAAAAAAGAAAAGAAAAGAAAAACTAGTGAAATAAAATGACCCTTTATTAAGTTCACACATATTGTGGACCAGAATTTTAACTAGGACACTTCAAGGCAACTTGTCTCTGCTCTGCATTGCCTAGAGATGGGCTCAACTAAAGTTGATTCCTCACATATCTGGCAGTTGATGCTGGCTGTGAGCTGAGGGCTCTGTCTCCATGTAGGCCTAAGCAGAGGATCTCTCCTATGTTCTGTTTTGGGCTTCCTTACAACATGTGGCTAGGTCCTGAGGGTGAGTGTTGAGAGAGACAGAGACAGAGACAGAGACAGACTGAGACTGTATTCTTTTTATGACCTACACTTACAAGTTGCACAATATCAACTTCAGCTGAATTACATTGACTAAAGCAATCTGAAGCCCAGCCCAGGTTCCAGGACCACACTTAGTAGGAGCAGTGTTGAAGTCAATCCTTTTCAGGAAATATAATCATCTCAAAAGGAGTGCTTATAGGGTGATATAAGCACTTAGTTCTTGGCTCCAGGAATATTCTCTACATGCAGTGTGAGCAACTAAACCCCAGGCAAAGCCTGGGTGGCAAAGTCCAGGGTTTTCAGGGGTATTGAAGCAGCTAGACTCTGTGGGGGCCACATCACAAAGTAGGAACTACACTGAAGGGCGTGCATGTAAGGACATGTATGTATTTGGTTGGATGCAAGTCCTTGCCTTTGGATCATGGTGGCCTGTATAGGGTGAAACTATGAAGCCTACCAAAGAACAGCTGTTGTACCCCCAAAGAATGTCTTTTTAAAAATTCTAGAAATTAATCAATTCTAGAAGACGTGGGAGGTATGGTCTAACCAAAATGGAAAAACAAAAACAAAAACTTTAAATACTCCACGTGAAACCATAGAGATGCCATAACTCAGGGTTAAGGACTCTGACCCTAGGAGAAGACCTGCTTTAACAAATCTTAGAAGTGGGTAGGCATAATATGCTTTTTGTCCTGCAATAGTTTCCTTAAAAGACAACTAACTGCTTTATAATAACATTATAAATTGCACCTCATGACACATGCAAAAGTTACGACAACAGCAACAAGGGATGGAGACAGGAAAATGGAATTCTGCTGAGATGAATTAATGCATTAGTGAATTGCAAATGTCAGATGGAAGGTAGGAAATGGGATGTGTCATGTGGGAAGTGTAAAGGGCGGTTATATGGATATAATATTAACGTTTTAAGTAGGCTAAAATAAGTTAAGAATGTGCTTAGATAGGGCTGGGAAGGTGGCTCAGTGATAGAGCGCTTGCCTTGCATGCCTGAGGCCCTGGGTTCGATTCCTCAGCACCACATAAGTAAAAAGAAAAAAGCCGGAAGTGGCGCTGTGGCTCAAGTGGTAGAGCAGCTAGCCTTGAGCTGAAGAGCTGAGGGAAAGCGCCCAGGCCCAGAGTTCAGGCCCCACGACTGGACCCCCCACAAAAAAAAGAATGTGCTTAGGTAGATTAAGGAAGTCTCACGCATATGTATGCATGCTCACACGCACACACACAAGTGTATACACACACACACACACACACACACACCAATTAAAACAAAGCTTTGATAATGCCTGCAGACTAATTCTGTCTCTATAGGGCTGTATATCCTGAAAATTTTATATAAATGGAATTATACCAAATGTGGTCTTTTCTGAAAGAATAGTTGGAAATTTCAACACTTCTCTCCCATAATAAGCAAAACAAGCAGATTTTTAAAAAATCAAGGGGCTGGAATTGTAGTTCAATGGGAAAAATATTTGCCTGCCATGCATGAGGCTCTGTGTTTGATCCCCAGAACCACAAAAAAATCAGTAAGCATGAAAAAGACTTGAGCAACATTGTCAACCATCTTAACCTAATTGATATTGACAGAAAATTACACTCCCAAAATACAGGGTACACATTCTTTCCAAGTGCATGTAGATTATTTACCAAGATAGGCCATATGCTGACTCTAAAAGAAGTCTGAATACATTTCAAAAGTCAAAATCTGGCAGATTATGTTCTCTGACTAAAGCAGAACTAAATTAGAAATCAGTAATGATAAAAATATCAAGCAAAGCCCCAAATATTTGGAAATTAAATTAACTGTGAACAATAAAATCACAAGAGAAACTAAAAAATATTGAAACTGAATAAAGAGCATTTTATCGTTATATGTTGCAGCTGCTGCAGCACTGAATGAAATTTATAGTTTTAAAAGACCATCATGGAAAACAGAAAGGTTTTAGATCAATAATCTAAACATCCACTTTAAGGAAGCTAGAAAGAACCAGCCACCTGTGGCTCATACCTGTAATCCTAGCTCCTCAGGAGGCTGAGATCTGAAGATCGCAGTTCAAAGTTGGGCCAGGCAGGAAAGTACATGAGACTCTGATCTCCAATTAAGCACCAGAAAACTGGAAGTGGCGATGTGGCTCAAGTGGTAGAGCAGTCGCCTTGAGCTGAATTGCTGAGGGACAGCACTCAGGCCCAGAGTTCAAGCCCTACAACCTACAAAAAAAAAAAGAAAAAGAAAAGAAAAGAAAAAAGCTAGAATTGGTGGTGTGGCTTAAATGCTATAGAACTATCATTGAGAGAAAAAAAAACTAAGGGACAGCACCCAGGTCCAGCATTTAAGCTCCATTACAGGCACAAGAAAGAAAAAAAAAAGCAGCTATAAAGAGAACAGGTTAATCTCAAAGGGCACAGAAGGAAAGAAAGAATAGAAATAAGCTGTGTGATAATACACTCATATTTTCCCCCCACTTTTCTGGCCATAGTTTTTTTTTTCTGTAAAATAAGAGGACTAAACTTCATGAATGATCTCTAAGATTTTCTCCAACTCTAGCATTAGATTTGATG